TTTGCGTCCGTAGTTTCTTGTAATTTAATATAATTATGCATGCATTTACTCAATGTTTTTAGTTTACGGAGAGTTGGGCACTTGAGATGTACCTATAATGAGCCTTTGAATTACGAGTATGTATTTTATTACGACTCAGACGGAGAAGTTACCACATTGATCAATATGTTAGTAATTTCATACTTGAATTAAATCAATTTTCCGTCCTGACTATCATAATGCATTCCGATTTGTCGTCACTGTGCAATTGAAACTATGTTTAATTTCTTATTACAATTTTTTTCACACGACTGTCTTATTTTGTCTGGCTCTATCTTTCACTCTTCTTCGTTTGAAACGCAAACTCATCAATTTTTTCCCTAATAATTGCAAACTATTTGCACTACTACTCACGGTTTACTTTCATTTTAAATCATAATGTGAATTAAAACTTTCAACAAGTCAGTATTCACATGTCGTACACCTACTTCCATTAATGCGATCTGCAAAACGTTAAACCATACTCGTTAAAACGCAGGTAATCTCATGGAACTGGTCTCAGGTGCAGGCCAAGCTCAATCAAGTGTCACTAATTGGGGCCGTTGTAGGAGATCTGTTTCAGCGTGTCAAAAAATGGTCACATTGTGCAACCAGTTTTTATAATGTGTAAATTAATTGCATTCTTCGTTGATGTATTGCGCGATCAATATGATATAGTTTATAAGCTATAAATTATTCTGGTCAGTCATTCTGATTAAAGAATTGCCTCTCGATAGCATGGGTTGAAAAATTTGAGCACTGACCCTTAGAATTGAGAATATCTGAATACATCCAGAAACTTTTATCAGTAAATCTCTATTTTCCTACCATTTCAAAACGAATTCAAAACGTGCGCCTAGGCAGTCACATTATGATGACCACGAAAATAGTTCCCTTTGTTCCAGCGTCACACACTTTCTAGAAATAAAGTTCACGCGGCTCGGCCGTAGCTCATTCAAAACACGACGACTATAATCTAATAGAGCATCCTCTAGATTGTCATCAATTCACATGCCTAATGCACCAGATGTTCGTTTTTCTTAATGATCATTCAAAGGTTGTGTCAATGTTATACGAGGGTCGTGAGAGAAAAATGCGGTGTAAAAACATGAATGAGATTTTATTTCTTCTCTGTTCGTGATTTATGTCGCCCTCAGAGAGACCATGCGTCACTGACTTTAGTCTTTGTTAAAAAATGTATACCCCCCTGGTAAGGAGGATCTTTGATTATATATTTTCTGTTTAGGAAAATAATGCATGTATTATTCAACAAAAAATGAATAGTTTCTTTGTGTTCTCTCAGTAAATTTTCTTTTTTTAAAGTTATTATTTATTTATCTGCATTGTCATCGCCCTGTTTTATTACGACACTCCTTATTCATTCGCGCCTTTTCCTTCAGAGATTGACAATGAGCGGTCATAAGTCAGAGGTAATTGACGGTTTCATCTTACTATTGACATCCCGAATGATAATTATGAAGCATTATTAATTTCTACGTACGCATCTTTTTCGATGCGCTCGTAGAAAATATATTACTAAACTGTCATGGGATTATCTCATATTCGGGTAGGAATAGCGCAGACGGCATGATTACAACGATATCTCTGAACTGGATGAATCGTTATACATTCCTCATAAATGAGAATTATAGTAGCAAATAAGATTGATGAATGATTGATAATCACTCAGCAATAATAGTATTGATAGCAATGTCTCATGACATCAGTAAATAATTGAAAAAAAAATGTCTGCTTGAAGTGGTACTTATTGAGATTTGAACATTTTTAATGGCGGTCTGCTTGAATATGAGCATCAAATGCATAAAAATTTATGAGCACTGCATGACTAATCTAAACTGAATAATAATCCATTTAAGATTTGCAGTGCTGTGACGAGGCCTTAGGCACTGCTAAAACAAATCCAAATGAGTTCCGATTCAATTACACAAACTAAGTATGAATGTCGGCAAAAATATTATTATTTACGAAGTGAATTGAAAGAAGTTGTTTTCAATACACTGCCTCTTGGGCATGGGTTATTGCATATTCCTCTTAGAATTTCTTTATATTTGTTCAGTTTATACGAGTATAATAAGGGACATTTGATCATCGTGTCCACATTGATTGAGTTCCTGATTATGATTACATTGTTATGCACTGCCCCCGCGCAGATAATCTCAAGATTGAGACTCGGAATCCAATAAGCAAAAGCCACATCCATATTAGCCCTAATTTACCTATCGAATGACACAGTATCTGGTCAATAGAGGAGCAAATAAGACTTATGTTATTATATCATATTCTCATGCCTGATGCCATCCTTGGAGACACGAATTGGAGCTTCGTTTTCATACAGCAGAGTGCGAGTGGTCGAAGATTACAATTTCTGAGAACTAGACTAACGAATGACTATCTATATTTAGAGAATAGATTTTTACAGTAAGATTAGTTTATTTATTAAAAATTTCTACAATGGAGCCTAAATCTAAAGCTTGTTGTCATTTTCCGCTTTAAACGATTTGCAGAAACTGAAATAATTAATCGATTGAAATAATTGCACAATCCAATTTTAGATAAATTAAAAGTTAATCGACCTCATCGGAGTTCTAAATAAGCCATATTAAATTATTATGATTAAGTAATAAATTTTGTGACGATGTGCGCGGCGTCATTTTCTCGGTGTCTGATATTTCAGTTTTGATGCCCAAAACGTCATCATTTGTCATCGATTTTCTCTAATTCTGGAAGATATAATTTAAATAGAAAATACATTACTTACACAGACCTCATTTCTTTTTCAGGTTAAAATTTCAAGTTTGGAACTCTTGGAAATTTTTTAACGGATCGTCACCGTGGATGTATTTGTAATTATCTACTTAATCGAGGATGCGTTGACAATCAATTGGTAAATTCTTTTTACCGCGTATATTTCTTCAATATTTCAGTCAAATCGCCTCACTTTTCATTTATTTTAATACAAATTCCATTTATTATTTCCTATACAAGTATTCGTCCTCCTGCACTCTTTACCCTGTATTCTATCTCTCTGTTTTCACTCTTTTCCTCTGAAAAATCTTCTATGAAAACCTTCTAAAAATCTAATATTCCATACACCTCTTGAAAAGTTTTCCTATTGACACACTGATATTTTCCAGTTATCTTGCGGTGGAGTCTTATGTTCTGGCGACCGATAAAACAGAGCGAGTATAAATATTCTTTTTGTTTTCTTATTCAATGTGGGACTGCATGCTAACACAGCTTGTCCGAACACGCGCTTAGCAGCTCTGCAAATTCCAGCTTCTGGATAAAGCTGACGTTGAGTACAAAGAGAAGTCAACTGAACTGAAAAAAATTACCACATGAAATTAAAAAGTAAGGAAAAAAAATAGTTTTCTAGAAGTACAAACAAGGATTAAATATATAAAAAACTTATTAGATTTGATGGTAGTGACAGATTTTTCGGCTTTCCCGGGACGTATATTTAAAAAAATTGATTATTTTTCATCGACCCATTTACTCATAATCCCAATATTCTACTTACATTTGCATATCGTTCACCACGTCAACCTCATTTTATAAAATTAGTCATGGGCTTCATTATTAGGTTGACAACGCATTTAATGAATTAGTTTACTTCTAAGGAGTCAAATAAAGAAATAACTGCCTATTACCGGACGTGCAGGTGGTATTAGCTTTCCATTAGAGTTACCCGAGATTTCCTAATTTACGATAACTCACACGTAACACATTTGAACAGCCTGGGTCAACAGAGATCATTCCATTCGAAAATTCTTAGAATAAATAATTTATTAAAATATCAGCCTTCTGGCTAACAAAGACACTCCCGTTGAAGAAAAGTTCAAAACCGCAATTTTTGTATCACTTGCAAAAAACGTGATGCCCGATTTTCATACGCCGCTGAGAGACAGTAGACAGAGGTTATAGTGTAGGTTTTTTTTTCATCCCTGCCATCGAATGATTGATTTTTCGATTTATATAAGTTCTCAGTGAGTTGAATTCGAGGAATAACGTTAATCCATGATTTATTTCCCACGATTTAATGCGGAAAATTCATTAGTATTTTTCTAGGTGAACCATGGTTTTATGTTTTGTTTTGACCTTTCTTTTTAAGCTCATCTTTCAACTGGAATATCGATTTCAAGAAAGAAAAAAGACTGGATGAAGAAATGCTCTTGACTATTTATATTTTTGTATGTTTGAACATGAACACTTATTAAAAATTACTCTTCCCGTTATTATTTATTTGAGACGAAAAAGAAGACGAAAGAATTTTTTTTATTAATGATTTGGGAGGTCTCGCTGCTATCACGTGGTCATGAAGCATATTAGTACATGAATATCAAAGAGGCCTAATCGATGTTGTTATTGAGATTAATTTATTCTTGCAGCCAAAAATTTATCAGTGCTGAAACATGGAAAATTTGCCTCACTAAGGACTCGTTTAAAGAGCACCTCGTCATAAAATAGCCATTAAAGGCTGCCAAAAACTTGTAGAAATTGATCATAGTTGCAGTCAGAAAGACCAGTATGAAAAACAATTTAATTTATATCATGCAAATATACGTTATTTAGCAGCTACGACAGCTGGTCATTGAGAGACGAACAAGAAACTGACCATTTGTTTTTATTGGAAAACACTCTACGGGGAATACTCCCATTATTCAAGTATCTCGTTGAATATTCAACACAAATTTATCAAAGGATCGATACTGTGGGAAAAATCATTTCGTGTAACCGGAAGAGTGGACGTAAAAAATGGCATTGCAGGCTCCAAAATAAGAAAATTGTCAATGAAACCACTCGATGCTATTAAAAATTATAGTCTAATCATGGGTCAAAGAACAAAGACAACTAATATCCGTTCCAAGATGTACAGAAAGTAGAACTGGCCCCAGATTGTAGTCCAGGCTTCGACCGGGTCGCAGGTTCAGTATATCGCTGCGAGTCTTAGGTGGTGGTCGTGTGGTGCCTCCTTCTTCCTTTACACTGAAATGTGAACTTTACTCTGACTTTACCTAAAAACAATTTGCGTTTCCTTGGCTGCAATCTTTGGTTTTTGTTTATCCTTCGTTGCTCTTTTGCTGTCATCATCCCAGCGTCGCGACTTTGTTCTCGAGGTGTGATGCAGTCTTGGAAATCTCCACTTATTGCTCAGGTGAGTTCCGGAAATTGATTTAAATATTGAATTATTAAAAGTCGTTTAGTAATATTGATAATTAGATGTGAATTTCAAAGTCTAATGGTTCTGCTGCTTTTTACTTTATAGATCTATTTCTCTATTACCAATATGATTTAATCGGGATTCAAAGTAATAAACTGAAAATAAAGAAGGCAAGAATAATCGGAAAATAAGGGATATCATAAAAAATCAAATAAATGAAAGATGGATCTATTGGATATTTATATATTTAAGTGCGTATTTATTGTATATGATATAATTCATGCACTTAAATCATGATATGATGCGAGTTTGCATTAAAACGAATCATGGTTAGCAAAATTCTCTTCACCTATACATATATAAATAAAACGAAGATAAAATAGAAGAACTAGGGACTTAATAATGCACATCTTTTCGAACATATAAGTTATGTCGCTCACTTATTATGAGGTATGATATTGCACAAGATTGCGCAGCCTATCATTAAAAGCCAATCCATGCTTTAACTTCCGTTCAACTTCATCAGCTCTCTATGTGAAGAATTCTAATACACTGATTTATCCTTTGTTCTGGACGATGTAAATCTGCTTCCTATTATTTTCGAAAGTGAAAGTAACAATTGGTGTCAGAATTTTTCAAATTGAAATCCAAAAGATATAATTGAAATTCATGGAATTTAATTCTATCATCGTGCCAATGTGTCAAATGCTGCTTCATTATCCTTATACATTTTTACACCAAAATAAGTAAAATTAAGTTTTTGTGAAAGCAGTCGATAATCCGCGTAATTTAATTTTTATATGTTGGAAATATTTTTTGCATCAATGTGATCTACGCTATAAGTAAATTGAATACAATCAAACTCTTATGTTAAACTTTACGTGATAAAGTATATCGCAATTGATAAAATTCTGAAGAACAAAAATAATTATCTATTCAAAAAAGTCAATAACTCTCGTTTCCAACTCTTCATAGAAAGCAGCGTTTAATGATCATGATTTTTTAATTAATCTATTATTTTTTCAGTGGTTTAAAAATAAGATTATGATGAATTGAGTTAGACTTTTAATGCCTCAAATTAACACAATAAATTACAATAATACGGCAAAAGGTTGTCTCCTGAATGTTAAATTATAAATAATATGTTTTCTGTAAATTTTTGCAATATAATATCAATATCCAAAATATTTCCCGTAGATTAAATAAACATCCCAGCATTTAATTCAGCTTCGATTACTTCATATTTTGATATCGGGTGCCAGCAGCAATGCATAATTCCGTCGTAGAAAATGATACAGCTATGTATTAAAAACCATGACACTCATTTACCTGTTCGTTATACCACAGCGCATTCATCTTTTTGGTACTGCTCGCTCAGTCCCACGTGGATTATAAGTCTCCCTTAGTGTGATTTGTAGCTGCTTTTAAGAAGCTAACGGCCTTAAAAATCTGCAGTTCATCACAGATCTTTGTGATCAAGATCACAACTCTCTAGTGACCTCATAATCATCCGTCTAAAGTTCAGGGATTTTTTAGCTCTCCGAATATTCTCAGAAAAGTTTATTTCTGAGGTTTTTTATTTCAAATCGTAATTCCAATACGCGCCATGATTTATTATGCCAAAATTGTTCTATAATTTTATAATTAGAATGAGATACTTTACCAGCATGTTCTTAAATGATCGTAGATAATCATCATGTTCATACTAGTCACGATTTTTATTTAATTCATGCTTTGATAATTTAATCAGGACAAAGTTCAAAACTTCATTTGAGGAAAAATGAAGGATCTGCTACGCTGTTTTTTGCTGGACACAAAAATTGTTCGTATTTCAATCCATAACCTCGTATCACTCAGCGTGTCAACACTGTATCGAAAACATCTCGTTGTTCATGAAATATATTTTAAATTTTGCTCTTAATTCGTTACATGGATTCACAAAATTTTCCTATTAGTCATTCTTTCTTACTTACTGAATTTTATCTAGCAACAAATAATGATATAAGAATAAAAAGTCGAAATGCGAATTCCTTTGCACGAGTTGAAATAAAATAAAAACTCAGAGAAGGAAAAGTTGTTATACCTGATAAATCAATGTTATTTCTTTTTAAAAAATTAAAACTTAGAACAATTTGAATCATGATTGCATAGTTCAGTCACCCTATAGGTTAGGGACACGAGACACGCGAGCGACATTTGGCAGGAGAAGCGCCGACATCACATCATTCATTATTGGCGCGAGTCGACCACTGTCACTCTGGTGTCGAATGTGACGATGCGCACATGCATCCGCTTAATGCTGCATGCAGTTCTGCAATTGGGATTTTGCAATAATATCAATTGTGCATCTCAAAAAATAGTGCTCTTTTTGTCTACGATATATTAGTTGCGTGCATCAAGATAATCATTTGTTTGTGTTTTCGTTTGATCGAAGAGCACCGGAAATATAGGGAGGTTATTCGAACGTCCAACCTACAATCCTGCGAGTTCGTGTATTATTAGTATTTGAATCGCATAAAAATGTCGAAATAGAGAATAAAAATATACTTTCCTATTATAATTATGAAAAGTTTTATTCCAACTTTTTTCACGTTTTATTTGTGGGTTAATAAGAGTTCTTTGTTGAATATGAATTTAGACGGGTCTTTGTAAAATGAACATTTCCATGGTTGGTGAATTATTATGACTAAAGTGATAAGATTTGATCACTGAGTTCTCAAATCTCATCAACTATCTATTCCGAGCAACAATGAATTCGCCAGTGAGTTGTGAATACTCGTGTTAATCTTGCAAATTGTGTAATTACGAAACATCATTTTGATGCCAGACTCATTTACTATGATGTTAGGCACGATGAGGCTGATATTGTATCACAATGTTCCTTCGTGGATTATAAATTAATGAATAAAGAAACGTGGAGGGTTCCTTATGGCGGCTCAGCATGCGACAGAGTTGCAATGTCGTGTATAATTACCTGGAACTAGTGAATTATGCTATAAATGCTTCATGCTAAGTCAGATTCTTATTTTAGGATTGGTTAAAGAATATTTTATTGATCAATATTTTATACAGAATGATGACTACATTAATTCCATTATAATGTTTAATGGTCGGCCATAAGGCAGGTATTTTTAGATAAAACTGAATTATTTAGCACAATAAAATCGCAATCATTCTCCCCAAAAAATTTTCAGATGTTGATGGAAATCGACTTCCATTAATAACCAATTTACCGTGAGTGTAGTAGATAGATTGTCAAAACTGACAATCTTATAATATTTTCCAATTCCGCGACACTTCCATTTCCTGTCGCTTACCGTGCAGCCCAAACCTGTCAAATTTTCTGAGAATATGCAAAGAAAATTTTCACATCTTGAAGAAGAAGGAAAAGTTGGTTCGCTCCCGGGGAGGGAATTTGTTCGCAGTGCATTTTTAGGCTGCTGACGGAGAACAGTCAATATTTATCAGTAATTTACAACAAATATTCAAACACAAATTTTCCAGGTTTTCAAACGAGCTCTCATTTTAGCAACAGTGTTTGAATAATCTAAACAAAGCAATTCGAAATTACTTCATACATTTTTCGATTCGATTTCCATTTTCTGAACTTATTTCAATGATAACATATCGATCCGAGCCTCATGATGTTTAACATGCCTCGTTGTCCGAAGAAAATTCAGACTTCCAAGTTAAAGCGTAAGCATTTTACAACTAGAGTATCAATAAACATTACATCAACAACTAATACATCGACGAACTGCTACATCATAAATGACGGACGACAGGCAAATCAACAACTACATCAACAAGTGAATACATGAACAACTACGACATTAAAAAGTACGACTTCATCAAATACGGCATCAACAAACGGCCACATCAACAACCACGACAAACATTTCTTACATCTATAACAAAGAATTCACAGTTCTGGGCGGCATTGTTAATCAAAGCTGCGCTGAATTGATCTAATAAACTCTGTGCCTGCGCGCTCTCGTTAACATGGCTGTGTTTGTCTGCAATTTTGAAGAGTTTGGGCGGGCGTGTGGCCGCGCATAAAGCCGAGCTTAATACAGCCTGGAACACAATGGATGAATTTCCGTGGACGGACCAGGGGCCTTCTTCGATAATTTTCTTCGAAATAGGAAAGGAAAGTACAACTGCAGGAAACGAAAAAAAATATAACTCAGTACTCACTGCAGTGAGTGACAGTGAGCGCATTTTCTCGTCGATGAAAACGTTAAATCACGGACAGACGGACGGACGGACAAGACGAGCACAATAGCACCTTTTTTCCATAAAAGAGAAAATGAGCTAAAAATATTGACATGAATTGAAGACGAACCATCTATATTTTGAAAAATATTGTCATGGAAACATAGAAATTGTGTCTGTCATCAATATAAATCCTTCCAATAAAAACGAGGTAATTTATTAGCAAAGTAGAAACATTAGCTTACAAAATTATGCGAATCATGCGAAAAAATCTCCGACTGTCTTAAAATAAATAATAAAAAACGGTAAAATAATACCAGATCATCAAAGAAAATGTAATTTAGTTTTATTTTATTTTAGAAATTCATCATTCCTTTTTTGCAATATGGTAATATTAATATATTAAAAGAATTAGGTGGTGCATGCATATATAAAATGATATTTATTATGATTGCTCCTGAAGAAGCGAGAAAATGCTCGTGTCTTATTTTTCATTATCGATATTACCTTCGGAAATACAGTTTCATTCATCTCATAACTCTAACAATTCGCAATGTCGTCTTTGATGACAAAATTAATGCTCAATAAACTTTCTCGCAAACAGCTCATGAATATCATTATCAACATTTTTTAAGCGAATTTAGCGGGAAAATGTTCTAGAAAATATGAAAATGAAAGCCAGAACAAAACGGACAATGCAAAAGGGACGAGTTTTCAATTTTACGTCAAATGGGGCTATGAATAAAAAATGGAGTCTGCAATTTAAATTTGCATAAACT